AAGATAACATGAGGGTGTGGGTGTATGTGGATGGGTGTGAGTCTGGGAGATGTGTGTGGGTATGATTATCTCTACTCTTAATCCACAACCAAATTTACACTCACAGCCACACCCTCAAGATTTTCAACTCAATTTTTCTTATTAAATTTTTATAAAAAATTTCTTTTCTCTTCAACTTTAGACAATTTTATGATTTTCATTAAATAAAAATATACAAATAGAGTTTCATACAACACAGAATTATCTTTTCGAATATTTTTTATTTAAATTCAATTCAAGGTTGATAAAAGAAACCAAAACAATTTTTCGTCGTTATTTTCTTATCAAAAATTTATTCAATTTTATTCATTGATTTTTAATAATAAAACTTTATTTTTTCTTTTGTTTCTCGATTATTTATTTAATAAAAATTTTTTTTATCTTTTTTTCAAAACTAAACTTTCATTCACAAAACTGTTACAAATTTTTGAATTCGATGATTCCGATGATCAGCAACATAAAGATCACCTTCATCATCAAATGATAAACCACGGGGAGACTTCAAGTGATTTGATTGGCTTCCTTCACCATTTCCACCAACAACAATTTCACCTTCTTCTTTTCTTTCACACCAACGCATTATTCGATTATTTCCACAATCTACCACATAGATTTGACCCAAATCATCAACAATTACTCCTGCAGGATAAGACAATTGATTCCGATTTCTTCCGTGACCATTTCCTCCAGCCACAATTCTTCCTTCTTTTGCACCTTTTCGCCATTTTATAACACGATTATTGTGCGTATCTGATACATAAACAGATTGATCTTCATCAACAAAGATAAAAGTAGGACAATTGAGTTGATTGAGATGATCTCCGTATCCATTTCCACCTGCCACTATAATTCCTTCATTGTTGTATTCACCCATTTTCCATCGTCTCACTTCATCCTTCTTCCAGTCAGAAACATAAAGGAATCCATTTCTATCCATTGCCAAGCGAGAACAATCAATACTGTCAATAAGAATTTGTTGCTTTCGATTCATCCATTGAATCACTCGCTTGTTCCCAGAATCGGCGATGATGATCGAATGATTTTCTGGGTCAATAATCACATCTGTTGGGCAATTCAGTTGATTCATTCGATTTCCTTGTTCATTTCCACCTGCAATGATTTGTCCTTCTCTTGCAAGATATTTCCATTCAACTATACGATGATTTGCATAATCAGCTATGAAAATATTTTTGTTTTTATCAATAAACATTCCAAGAGGGTCATTAAGTTGATTTAATTCTTGTCCTTCTCTGATTCCACCAGCCACAGTGATGGCATTTTGTTTCCATTCGTTGAATTTTGATTCTAGAAAATAATGAGAACAAAAGATTTTGTTGATCTATTTTTTGTTAAATAAAAATTTGAAAATAATTTAATTTTGTTTTTATAGTTTTTTAAAATAAATTCATAAAGAACGAGAATTAATCGTCTAGAAATTATTTCTTAATAACTTACTTTTCGGTAAAATGAATGAAATATGATTAATGAGCGGTTGTGAATTTTGTTGAATAGACATGATTGATGAAATATTTAATTCTTGTGTAATTTTTTTTAATTGATTTCTTAGACAATTTAAATTCATTTCATTAAATTCATTTTCTTTTTGAAATTGTTTTATTTGTTCACGTAAATCATTAAATTTCATTTCAATATCACTAATACATGTTTGTGATGATTTAATGAGGATTTCTCGATACTCTTGTGCTTTTTGTTGAATTTTTTCAATCGATTTTATTTCCCATTGATTAATTTGGTTCAATAATGAATGATTTTGTGGACTTTGTTTTTGTTCATTAATTGTTTGTTTAAATTGATTATATTCATTGGTAATATGATGTAATTCACTAGTTAATATTTGACGATGTTCTACTAAATCAATTAAACAAAATCTTTGTGAACATCCTTCACAAGGATATGTTATTTTATCTTTGATACATGTAAAACATTGTGTTTTGTTATTTGCCATTACCACGTCTTTGACTAGAAATTTTTAAAAGAAACGAATATTTACTTCTATAGTCAGATTAAGTTAACAACTCAATGACATTAAAAACATTGTTCCGTAGTAGAAGAAATCGAAACAATTTTAGTGATATTTTTTCAATGAAAGAATCATCAGTCTTATACTGTTATTATCATCACTCTCATTCTCAAGATAGTTATTATGTGATATTCTTTTTTGCTTATTTTTTATGTTATTTCAATAGGTTCACTTACCAATATAAAACTATTTCAAAGAATTGAATTGTTAAACTTGTGATATTTTGTAATTATTTCGATATGAAGGAGAATTCAGTGTATACCAGTTGTAAGCAAATAAATAATTTATTCTTTCGCTACGTTAACCACATATATGGTCACATGGTATTCTCATTTAGTATTCTTCTCTTTTCTTTCATATATGATCGTATCGTATTTTTTCCTTTTCGTTATTATAATTCATTTTTTTTCTGCTCTTTTAACTTCTATCCAAATGTGTTATCTACATGTTATGAATAAAAGTATATGACATCGGTATTTTCTTAGGATATATTGTACTGTGGAGATAGAAATAATCGAAGAAATAATTACGTTTTCTTTTTAAATCAACGAACTATTATTACCCTTTCAAATATCACTTTGAATTTCTCTTGTATCGATTAAATTCTTCTAACTATATATTTGATTTAGACAAGAAAAGCTATCGAAATAAATAAGTAAAATATGATGAAATTTAATTATAAAAACGAAAGTATTGTATATAATCGAATATTTTAAAACTTTTTTTATATATCTTAGCATCGATACATAATAGAAGTTTGATCTTTTCTCTTTTAAAAGATACGCTATGAAAAGTTCTAGAAAAATGATGATATTAAATATCTGTGATGATTGAAATTAATCAAATAATAATAATTGAAAGATCAAAAATAATATTATTATTCATATATGATTTATAATAAAGTTAAAATCATACTAATATTGATATGATGAGAAAGATTCAATGTAAATGACATTTCTTAAGATTTTTGATATTCAAAAAACGAATATCTATAAGTCGATATGAATATCATTCAATTGATAAATTATGAAATATCTTTTTATTTATTAAATCATCAAAACTATGCTGAAAAATTTCGAGAAAATTAAAGAGATTTTAATAACAGGTTTTCTACAATAGATATAACTTTTTATTGAATATTCAACTCGCTTTGCTGAAAGTAAAGATGCATCTTTATTAGTTATTTTTCGTTACTCAATCATATATATGTCTATGTGTTAATATTCTTTCTTGTAATGAATCGTCTGTGTTCTACATATATTCATTTTTTAATTAAAACTGTACAAATAAAATAATGTCGATTGATTATCTTAAGGATATTATTATTTAAGTTGAGTGCATATGATTACATTTACTTTCTAATTGTTTCATCATGATAAATATCATTTGTATTTTCCATTTATTTCTTATGTCATTCAAATGTTGATATTAGCGAATATCAAAGATAATCAGTTTTTACAATTGTTGATAGTATATGTCTATCAGAGCTACCAACAGGCCACTTCTTTCTGTCCTGGCCTGCTTAGTCTGACTCAGCCTGGGGGTTAGAGCGTGATGGACTGCCCAGGTTCTTGGCCTGGCCTGGCCGGCTACCAGGCCGGCAGTTCTGTTTCAAATTAATTAAATTCTATAACAATGAACTAATGTATAGCATAACTCCAGTTTCAATTATTTAATTTATTTTCATAAGGATAATAGAATAACAATTTCTTACACAAAATAGTATATTAAAACAAAGAGACAATCATCAAATATATTTTTCATGAGAAAAAAACCATCTTGAGGGTGTGGGTGTGGGTGTGGGTGTAGGTGTGGGTGTATCTCTTCTTAACTAACACACGCATTCAAGCTCACACTTACACCCATCCTCAATCTCGTAGTTCTTAATATAAACAAAAATGACAGCTATTTAACTGTTCGAACTGAAACTTTAATTAAGTATAAAATATAGAATAGACGAGTTGATCATATAGTATTTGATTCTTGTATCTAAAAATTAAAGCAAGAACCTGCTATTCGTAGGTAAAGATTACAGGTATGTATGTCTCAAATTAGATTATTAGACTGATATCTATTTCATGATCTGAAATATTCATTTCTTGATTTCGTGCAAGGATAAAATTATGTAATGCTTTTTCTTTTTCTATTATAGGTGAATGTTACCATGTTTTATGGTAGTCAAGATGATATAACAGTTTTAAACAATGTGAAATCAACACAAGGTTATTCTGATGTGATTGTTGATGATGGTGGTCATACAATTAATCAACAAATTACTTCATTCACTCAATTAGTACTAAAAGTAAAATCTGGAGGAATTTATGTTATAGAAGATTTATTAACAAGTTATATGCTAGCGAACGACGCTGGTTACCTTCGCAAATCAACAACTATCGAATTTATAAAAAAAATTATCGAAAATGTTCAAACTGCATCCCTAGAAAAGTATATACAAGTGGCTAGAAGAATACGTTTTCTTGAAGTCGGAGATGAAATCTGCTTTTTCACTGTTAAATAATGAGGGTATGAGTGTGAGCGTTGTTCTTCTCATTCATACCCACATCTAAACTTACCCTCGAAATTTAAACAAATGATGTACAGATCGAAAGAATGATTTAGCATTAAGAAAAAAACCACGAAAATTGTTTTTCATGTACTGATGTTATAAAAATGTGAATTTGTTTACTCAGAACTGTTTAAATTTATTATTAATTAAAAAAGATAGCAATTACTTTTTAAGAAAAAATATAAAATAGTAGCGATTAGTTTTCCACTCAAAAGGCAAAGCACTTAGTTAACATCATTCACACTTCCAAACATTCTACATAAATAGTTCTTTCATACCATTAAAAATACTTATTTAAACAACCATCCAGATATTACCATCACTAAAATATCTTAGCATGCGTGCAGTTAATTCAAAGCTCGATCATTGAAATGATACTCATGTTTAAAAAATTTTAATTTGTCAATAATTCAGATTGGAAACTTCACACTGTATTTCGCAGATGAATCTCAACTCGTGTGGTATTTAATTACAATAAAAATAGCATGAGAATTTAGCCGTAAAATCAGTTTAAACGTTTAACTCTCTATACGACAAAAAAGTTTTTGTTTGTCATAGAGGTTTCATAGTTATATTTCATAGTATGGCTGCCAATGTTAATTCTTTCTCCTCTCAACGTATAATTTTATTTCATATAATAATTTCGAAAACTGAAAGTCACAAAATACTCGTTTAAACATCGCAAAAACACAGTTTTGACTGTGGACTTTGTATTTCATGCACATTTCGATATAATTAAAACGAAAAGTCAAATAATAAATCATTAGCATTCTGTTAACATAGATTAGTAGAAATTCTCGATTGAAATGAATTCATCTGTTGAATTAGTGTTCACTCTATTAACATTTAAGTCTTTGTTGTCAAACTATATTGAAGATGAAATAAAATAAAATATTAAATTATACCAGGCATTTATAATAACTTCTTCAAAATGAATATATCTACTTTTAGAAATGGTGAAAATACAACGATTAAGAAACTGATATTATTTAATGTTGAATTCATTACAAAACCAAAAAGAATTGATATTAAAACATTGGAATTATATATCATCAAGTCTAATATTTATACTAGGATTTTGTCTGATTTCATTTCATTTGAATAATCATAATCAAAATGAAAAACTATTCAAGTACTTCAATAATACAAATGATTGGTCAAATTTATTTCATTATTCATATAATTACAATGTCAGTTCATCCACACCAACTCTTTGTATCATTACCCGAATATATGGACCACAAATTTCATATTTTCCTATATTTGCCTTAGCATTTCTTCATACCGGTCTTGACAATATTCGCATTTATGTAGTCAATACAGATAGACGAACAGATATTCGACAACTTAAACAAACAATTAACTTTCTCAATAAATTCGTATCGCGTAGAGATTATATTACTCTCCTTGAGTTAGGTGTACCACCTTTGAAAAATGAGTATGGTTATGTTATGACTGATCGTGCACTTTCTTATCTCTATAATCAAACGAATAATTTATCGTCTTCATGTCAATATATCGTAGTGACAAATGGAGATAATTTTTATTCTCAAATATTTGGAAAAAGAATTTTACCACATATGAAAGATGGAAAGGATATTATTGCTTGGGATTTTGTTTCGCATCATTCTAAACCGCAGTATAGAGAAATTATTTTTCAAACAAAACACGCAGCTCCTCAAATAATTGATGATGGTACTGGAAAATGTACTCCAGTGGCACTTAAGGCTGGATCAGCTGATTTAGGAGCAATTGCATATCGATTAGAATTTTTAAAAGAGCGCAATCTTTACTTTAAACGATCTGATGGCAGTTATTCATCTAATACAGATGGATATTTTATTGAACAGGCTGCTCTACGTACTCCAGCATCAGTTATTTTGAAACAAACTCTTTTTTTTCATCAGTAACTATTATAAAATCTCATATAAATTGTTGGGTAGATATGATAAACTAAAACCTAGTCACTCACATCCACCCTAGCTATGAGAATATTATGCAAAAAGATATAAAATTTTGTATTATTAAAATGATTTAATTCTTTACAATTCGGACATCTTTATCATGTTGTTACAAGTATATCTTTCTCTCTCGTACATTAGGTACTTATTTTTCTGTTTGATGTATTAACATGTGACTTTTCTATGGAACTATTCTCATGAATTTCTTAATTTGAAGTCTCATCATTACTTACTTATTTCATTTCATAAATTTAATCATACTCTATTGTTTCTTACATAAGCTTTATTGAAAAATTGATGACAAATGGCAGTTTCGATAGTCTTATGTATATTGTTTAAAATGATCTAATTCTATTTTGTTACTTACATGAAAGATACCATGTAAGAGAATTTCTGCATAAGAAATGATTTAAAAGATAATACAATATATTCAAACTCATTTTCTTTTCAGTATAGAATTGTTTTTGATCTAATGATGATAATCTTTATTACTTCTAGTAATAATAATTGTGATTTACAGCAAAATGTTGTGCCGTAGCTTACTCATATCTGTGATTACAATTTCTGAATTAATTATTACATATCATGTCTTGTTTGAATGCAAAACTGAAGAATACGTTAGAAATAAGTGAGTCTATTTATTCGCATTTTCATAAAGCTATCCATTTCAAGACCGATCTTTGATAGATTTTAGCTTCGCGAAAACAACGAAACAAATTTGTAAAATTTTTCAGTTGCGTTTCAGAAAAAAAGTCATTTTTTTATGTGTTTAATGTACGCTGTATTTAATCTGGGACGGTAACAACATTTCTGTCAATATATACAAGGTTGAAATACTGTAGAAATTTTATATCAATAATCAATTGTTTGTATTTGCATGAGTGTCTCTACTCTTCACAACAATAGTCCACGCATCTTGAGGGTGTGGATGTGGGTAATTAAAAGCTAAATCTGCACTCACACCCACACCCACCCACGGATGTCATTCATTGACTGAAAAAATAAAAAAGTGAATATGTAAAAATTTGCTCACAGTGTATACGAATAAACTATAATATAATTAGCCCTACCAAATCGAGCATTGTGACTATTCCACTGTAATGTTTCTTGAAAGGTTGAATATATTAAGAGATATCATATATCGGACTCTTTTATGACGAAAAATGCTTGTTTAAAATGGTGCTATATTGTTTCGAATCTATTGAAGTGCATAGCCGAGAAAACGATCTTTTCCCTTCATATCAACTTTCCAAATATTTACATTTTTTCATGTACTGTGACAAAATGAACATCACTTTTAATATTTATTGATAATCTTTATCAATGGACTAAAATTTAATCAAATGATAACTTAGCTCAAGAACATATCGAGAAGAACACTAAATACATACCATTTTCAATTACTTGCGAAGGAATATAATGATGTATGTATTAAGCACAAATATACATAATCAATAACGAAATTGCACTTAATACGTATCAATCGACTAATCAAAGGCTGTAATGCAGCTTAACTATCAGGCATAGCTCAATCTAGCACTACTTTGATGTCAATCGCCTGTGAAAGTAACAGAAAACGCGACTCACAATCGATTTGCCAACTCATAGGATTATCCTGAGATGTAATTGGTAAAAGAAGTCAAACGATTTAATTGAATGATTTACTTTATCGTTAATCTGAAATGAAATCGAAGAACGCAGCAAAACTGCTGATTTCTAAATCAAGAACTATTGTTTATATGTTGAATCAAAGCTGATTATGTCTTAAAACATGTCTTAGCCAAATAATCACTAATTTGTAAATTGAGTAGTATATAAATATATTTAATTAAATTGTTAAAAACTGAAGCTTGGAAATAGTATGTCTATAAAAGTCAATGTAAAAATAAACAGAAGACTTCGAAGCGAACAGTATCATGCATTTAACTCTATCCGAAATGCTACCCAGTTCAACAAATAATTCAATATGGCATATATTACAACAAGAAATATGACAAACTCAAACATTCATCAAACAGTAAGTTGCAGTAGTGAAGAACATATTGACAATATTCGTAATTGTCTTTATCGCTACTCTATTCCAAGATATCAGATGCTCAATGTTACTGTGACATACGGTTTCGCTCTCAACAAATAATAACAACTAAGTTACATATTCCCGCACGATTTCATATTTTCTCTGTTAATTTATTTTTCCACCCTCGAAACCTTTACAAAAGAAAAAACTTTTCCATCCAAAACGTATTTCATTGCTTCCTATAAGGAGTTACCATCCCGGTCCACAGCATCAGCATAGTAAGCACGAGCATAAGCGTCATAAGCATCAGCATCATCACGATACTGAGTAGTATAAGCATGAGCACGAGCACGAGCAGCGCGAGCAGCATAAGCAGCACCAAGACGATCATAGGCATCTTTATTTGTGTTGGGTGTGTTTTGTATGCTGATTTGCTGATGGTCTTTGTCTGAAAAGAGTTAAAGTTTTTAATAAGCGAAAACTAAAGAAGTTTGAGATGCCACTATGAGTTGTGGATGAGCACCCTAGTGACGGCTTCATTGGACGAGTTAAGTTTGGGAAATTTATGCAGAAACCCATAGACGAGGGGCATTTAAAGTTTGTTACGGTGGCAGTTTATGGTGTTGCTAAGTGACAATAACAATCAGTTCTTGTAATGGAGGTACTTTGTTCAAGTATAGTCTGGTATATGATACGATTCTTGGGAAGGGTAATGCGTTGCAAACTGGGAAGTAACTGATTTGAAACGGGTTTTTATCGTCCTATATACTGGTTTGAGCTAGGATATACTTTTTAGTCAGCGAAGAGGAATTAGAAACTACAGGAATTGGTCTTGTACCTAAGCGTATATGGACTTCAGATATAAGAACTGGAATTGCCGCGAGTTCGAACAGTGCCTGGACGGAACATGTTCTGTAAAAACGGGTTTTGCAGCCCAATAGAAAAGGAAATCATTTTGGATAAGTAGATCTTGTTCTGCAACGTTCTCTACAGACTACAGTTGTTTCTTGATCAACAATGTGAAATATTTACGTCATGACTTGCAAAAATTGTCTTGATTCTTTTCGCCATCAAAATTGATTCGGCTTGATACATTATAAGTATGTAATACTTCTCAGAACGTTGAGGAAATAGTGAGAGAATTTAAAACTATTCTTTGAATGCATTTTATGAGCATAGGGATATAACTGTTAAGCACTCTTTGTACAAAGCTAGTGTTTAAAGAATGGTACTATTGTTCAGAACATTGTGATTATTCTTGACAATCAAAGACAAAACACTTAGCTACCGATCTCAAAATTGGTTCTTTAGTTATTGTTGATCATATCTAGGGGACAATATGGTTCAGTTCTAGTTCAGAACGGTTCACTTTTTCAGAAAAATCAGCTTGCCGAACTGAACTGCCTGAATAGTTCACTTCACGTGAACTAAACTGTATAAACAGTTCATTTGAACGAGCAGTCATCCTATTCGGCAGTGTTGAACATTAGAGGAACCAGTTTCGCACCGGCATCGATTCCGTTCAATTCCGGGAACTCGATCGACACATAACATCTGACACCACTAGAAAATTGATCGAGTTCCGTCAACTTTCGGGATCGGCAGGAATTCCGTTCAATTCCGGAATCGGTGGGAATTCTGCTCAATTCCGTTTTGACGCAATTCCCGGAATTCCGTAACGGAATTAGATCGTGTCCAAACGAGATAACTTATCAGCACAATATCATAAATGTGGTGGAGGAGGATGGTGTGATTCCGGTACGGAATTCCGGAATCGGTCGAACTTGATCAATCTCGACTGGGTCTCTTATGTTGTGTGTCCATCGAGTTCCCGGAATTGGACCGAATCGATTCCGGTGCGAAACTGATTCCTCCAATGTTCAACATTGCGGAATAGGATGTATTCTCATTTGAACGAACTGAACTGTTTTAATAAGTTCAGTTCGTTGAAATTGAGCTATATGATCGATTCTTTAGTTCATTTGAACGGAGTTCACGAACTGAACTATGCCTACCCTTAATCATATCTCGAGTTTGTTTATTTTAATTTCTATTGATGTATAGAAAACCGTGACGTCTTGGTAACAAAGTTTGAAAGGTCAAACGATCCTCTAGAGATCAAGTGTTTCGCAGAATCAACCTTCACTTATCCGGTAATAGATTAAAAGAGAGATCAATAACTACTTTGCGTCAAGATGTCATATTCAACTTCAATCTGTTTCCCTTGAATAAAGACAAGAGAGAATGAAAGTAGGAGAAGTTGGATATCTTTAAATGTACATAGAGTTTGATTATGTGTACAGATTGTGAAACTAAAATTATGAACAGTAATCGATTTTTTCAATTTTGAAAAGCATGAACGGCTTTTACAATGAAGTAAATTGCGAAATCTCTGGTAAAACTTTTTTCATTCTATTAAACTTATTTTTATAGTTCGAATAAACATAACCAAGTGAAAGTAATTATCAAACTTATAAGCTTCAAATATCTCTTTTATTTAAAAAAAACAGGAAACGGTTCGATCATTGTCAGTTCTAAATCAAAATATTACACAAAACTATTAACTTTTACATGATATATGCACTATAGAAAGATAGTAAGTTGTCAGGATAACCTTACAACATAGACTATCTCTATTAAACGTTTTATCCAATACCCAGCATCATCAAGAGTTTAACCCAGTGCACATTGATAACTTCAGGATAATTGACTATTAAAATACTAACACTCAGTGTCATTCACGTTATTAGGCGCACTGATTTCCATGATATTTAGTGTTGATTGGGGTGTGGGTGACAATGTGAGATAGTTACCGATGTGAAAAGAGTACAATATCCATACCGGCATCCATATCTACTCTCAAGAAATATAAAGCTTAGTATAACTCCTTAAAGACTGACTATAAATGAGAAATAGCATAAATCTTATTTTGACCTAGTAGTTAGTAAATCATTTTTAGATCACCAAGATTTTCAAAGCTCAATTAAGTTAATCTTTTTGTCACTGGAATTGTGGCCTGCTTCTCTAAAATAAGTTTTCAATATTTACAAGTATAGAATATAAATTTGCCCAATTATGTCTTATGAGATGATATAATAACAGAATGCTTTTCAAAGATTGTCTAAGATACGGTGGTATGCGAGTTTAACAAAACGTCAGAAATAAAAATGAAAATAAGTTTTTTAGAGAAATATCTGTATTAATTCGATGATTTAACTTTCTTAAATATCCATATCAGTATATATATAAAAGATATGTTATTACTAGACTGTTATATACCTCGTGATCTGACACAATTCACTGTAGATTTGACAAAATATATTAGTAAACTGTTATGAGACCGATTTAAAAGGAAACTTGTAACGTTAATAAACGAAGAAATATTTTCTTTATTTTGCACTAAAGAATTTTTCGAATGCATTCGAAGTTCTATTACCAAATGAAAGTTAGTATTGCGCTAATCATTTACGAGTAATCGTGTTAGGTAGAACTTTCGAACGTGACTATGCGAAACTAGAACTCCATTTACTAAATTCATTTTAATACGACATATATGCTGACAAACACAATATTGAGAAGAAATGCTTCTCACATTATAATAAATATTACGATACATCTTTGTCACTTACTAGAAAAACGTTGTGTTAATTCCAAGTAGATTAAATGTTTGCCTTTCTCAGGTTCCTCTTCGACACGCAGAACACGAAAACATACACCTGGTGTCACAATTTCTTCTTCTTCATTAGGATATTCCGATAATTTACTAATATCAGCAATAAATGCAAACAATACTTTCATAATGAATAGTGTATTTCCAAATCCTTCTGCTTTTTCACGATTACGACTACACGATGAAAATCCTTGGAAAGAGCCATACTCTTTTTTATTCCCGGCCATTTTTTTATAAACAGCGATCTGTTCTGGTTTGAGTTTGGCTCCCCGATAAAGTTCAATGTTAGTTTTCACTTTTTTATTATATGGATCATCCCAAAGTAATAAGCAAAATGGACCTAGTGTTTGAACTGTATGCCGCCAGATATGTTCTTCTTCTTTGCTTCCAACTAATCTCATGTTTGCGTTCAAAGTTGTGTATAGGAAGCTTTCCAACGAGTAAAGATAAGCACAGCGTTGCCATACTTCTTCAATTCTTTTATTCTTTTTTTCTCGAAGACAATCAGCCAATTCTTCAGCTTCCTTTTGTTTTCCAATATGTTTGCCTTCTTCAATAATACCTTGAGCAGCTTTTTCAACAAGCATAGGTATCATACCTGGTTTTTTGGAAGGAAGTTCATCTAATTTTAGACCCAAATATCTTCTGACTTCTACGATGAATGGCGATATCCAGCCATATTGACCACCAAATGAACGATCCGATGCAACTGGAAGATCCACGAAGCGTTCTTCTCTCAAATGTTTGTCTTCTCTATTGCGTTCAATTCTTTTTACGGATCTCTGCTTGTTATTATCACTGTTTAGTATTTGCAGATAATGTTTAAAATCAATGTAATAATCATCCAAAATAGCTCGTGGTTGTTTATTTAAAAAGGCTCGTTCGATAATTAGGTTTTCAACATCTGAATACTGACTCCATGTTGGTGGCTCAGTTTTTGACCATGGATTGGGATTCGATTGCCATTTCCATTCAATAGTTTTTAGGGAATTTGTTGTTGTCGGTGTGATCAATGTTGTAGGTGTTGTCGATGTTGTAGTACCCATAACTCTTAATACCTTTCTTTTGCTTTTGATGATAAAAAACGTCAACTATTTCACTTGTTTCTTTTATCTGAAAGTGAAAAATAATGATGATGAAAGTTATCTTATTAAGAAAGCTCAAGAAATCCAAAAAAACAGAATGCTAAGGGATTCAGGTATTTTATGAAATAGAAAGGGTTTAAGAAATATAAGGAGCTCGTACAGCTCAATGAATTCAGGAGATTAATGAGATTCAGAGAATGCACGAATTGAGGTAGCCATTTTCAAGATGTAGATAAGAGTGAGAAAGTGAGTTTATATCTGAGCGAAGATGTGAAGATATAATATAAAACTCAAATTCATACCTGGAAATATATTCTGAGTCATATTCTCGAGTTGAAGCCGTTGCCCTCAAGGATAAGAGAAATGTTCAGATAGAATAATCACGACTGGTATTCACCATCCCGAAGATGATATTGACGACGAAATAAGAAACTACAAGCTGACTAATTGCATGTATTCGCAGCATAAAAAAGTTACCCACTTATCTTTTTGTGTTGCTTTGCATGTTTGCTGGAAAGAATCGAATGAAATTGCAAATTTTCATTTCTTTCTAGACTGAGATAAAAACGAAAGATATTGTTAACAGAGATTGGTGATAACATTATTCGTATGTTGGAAATTTTTAAGAGACACAGTTAAACGAAAGTCAAATATTTAACCCTATTTGGTATTTTTTATTGCTTCTTGAAGGTGTGGATGTGGGTATTGTACTTACTTCTCAGTTACACTCATACCCACCGTCAAGATGGTTTTTATTATATTGTATTATTGTAACAAAAAAATTACATGAAATAATACAATAAATATTTGATCGTTTCATTCAATGAATCAGAAAAATGAAATTTTATATAGGCAATTAGTAATACATAATAATTTAGTATATTTATTCTTATTAAATAATGAATTATAGAAAAATGAATATGAATTTATAAATGTTAAAAATGAAATATTTCTTTATAATTAAATGAATAATTTAAGTAATAATGATAATAATATTAGCCAAATTAAAATCATTCTGACGATACAGGACAATTGTATGTTATTGAAGTTTTCGTAATAAAATTAATTTGAGGATAATTAAGTCTAATCCATGGATTGCCTTTTGTTGAATATTGATCTTGATCAACTCCATCACTACTACCTATATATACATAAGATAACAAATATATTACAATAAGTATTGCAGATAATTAGAATTGAATAATATCGATTAAAAATAAAATTTTCCCTCTGTTCGAAAATTACTATTTCATGTCTTTTAAATATAATTTGTTATTAGCTCAAGTACGAAAAAAGTCTTTAATGTATATATAAAACAATTTTGAACTTATTGCAAATGATACTATAAACGAGGTAAACTCTAAGAAATTAACCATTTATTATAGTTTAATGTTTTACCTGGAGTTGGATTAAAAATAGCGTTGGCAGTATCTAAACCAGTAGTAACAATTCCTAGAAAAAAAGAAAATTCGTTAATTCTATGTAAAAATGAAATATTTACCTAAAGGAGCAAAACCCAATGGATCTAAACGACTATTATCAATATAATTAATAAATAATTGAGTAGTACGAGTATTGGGACCCGCAGTTGCATAGGATAATGTACCAACAGTATTTGACATTAAAACAGGATCTATTAAAACAAAAATGAACATTTACAATAGATATTATTATAAATATATCAATTACCATCCATAATAGGTTTATCCCAAAGTTTATTTTGCGCTGGATCACCACTAATTCCAAATTGAACAACAAATTTAGGAACAACACGAAAAAAAGCCGAAGGTACGTGATAAAATTGCGAATTAATCACATCAAATAAATGATTTGCACCAAGTGGCGCCCATTTTTGTGTTATATTGATAATTATAGGATTGCTAGCGCCCTTTACGTCCGTATCAAAACGAATACAATAAGTCTCTGGATAACTCTGAGCTAAACCATTGACTATTGTTAGAAAGAATATGACCACCAATAATAAATTTAAAGTAGACATCTGAAGAGAAAAATATTTCGATGAACGAGCAATATAACATCACAAGTATATTAAAGATAAAGTTTATCATCGTCGATTAGTTGAAATTTGTAAACACAAATTCTTTATACATGTACTAACAGAATAGAGTTCAATCGGTCACATATTTCAAAGAAAAAAGAAAGAATAATATGCATTAACAAAAATATATGAATAGATGTAATTGATTCTTCAGTGCGATGTTTATTAATACGTATATAAAAATAAGAACTAATATATCGTCTTAAAAGGAGATATATGAATGAAGTTAAAAATATTGTAACACTTACGATTTTGTTAAACTATAAGATGAAAACATGACTAAAATGTTTTTTATTGTTAAATAAGTTACAGTCAGAAATGAAGTTATAAAAAGAAATGCGTTTTTTTTCTTATCTATTTCTTATGTTTTATCTTTATTTAGTCTTTGTTTGTCACATGTTTTTTGACTCTAAAATATATTCTTTTTTGATGAAAAGATTGGTCACTCTATTCAAATGTTCTATACACTCAAAAAATGACTTACATAAAAATCGACATTTATTTAATAAATATCTTCTTAATCTAAAATTATATATAAATAAATAGAACATTATATTCAATAAACAAACTTCACCGAATAAGACAATCATTTGAAATCCTACTAAATCAATATAAATAAAGAAATATCTCGACGACTAATCGTTATTTGTTATGTATTAATAGTATCCATTGTTTTGTTTTAAAGAAAGGTTTTCTACAATATGTTATAGAACATAATCTATAATATGGCAAAAAAGTGGAAAAAATAAAATAAAATAATATTAAAAAAAATACAATGAAATTAACGAATCATGAATAATAAAATATAATCTTGTAATCTTGATGATTCTATTGCAAGTGACTAAAAAGTATAAATATTTAATATATTGAAAGACACATTATATACGGTTTTGAATGATAATATTTACATCAGCACCAAGTGTTACAACTTAATATTATTGAGAAAAGAATAACTCTCTTAAAATTATATGAATAAGATGGAATTTGTTTTTAAATATTAATCCTGTATTTAACAAAATAGCAAATATTATGAAATATGTAAAAGAAAATTTAACAACATTTTTATTTTTACTATGAATAGCACTTTAAATATTTAGTGATAGTTTTATGGTCAGGATGTTTGTCAAAGAAAGATAAATGTAATACATCCACTCATTATTTCGTCAAAAAAGAAGAAAAGAAATTTGATTCATTTCACGATATGGTTCACTACAATCAAGTGTTCCATTTGATTTATCCTTACACGATCAAAATCTATAAAGTATGACTTTACACAATAATAAACTTTAATAATCTTTTCACTGAGTTACTTTAGAGTATAAGCTAATCCATTAATAACTGTCATTAGTAATATTTTCCAGATTGTAACAGAAAAATGAAATAGTATATACGTTGTTGATTTTCTTCTAAATATGTGTGGGTTTTTAATCCTTGTTGAATTGCGTTTTTGAAAAAAAATCGTTTCCTACGCATCTATTGGTATATAGGGTACTTCACTTTCTAGATCTATAATATTTCATTATTGTAATGTATTAATCACATTCTAGGTAAAATAATGTGTCAAAATTCATATAAGTAAGCTAATCATAATCTTTTTCTACAGAATAATGTTCAATTGTACGTCATATCATTCATCTTGACATTTTGACAAGATGTAATCTGCTTACAAGAAAATGCGCAGTTTTTTCTAAAGAACTTATTGGTATATATACGAGAACATGTTTTCATTTAATATCTGTTGAGCAAAAGAAATTATCATTGAAAAACTTGTTCATTTCAATTAAAACATAAGCACAGTGAATATGACTGATCCATTAATCTCACTTGGTGCTCAGTTAACTCGAATTACTCTTCCCATGATCATTATTGTGGGTGTCGTAGGTAATTCATTTAATATTGCTGTACTTCTACGTCCTGTATTTTATTCTCATGCTTGTTCTCGTTATTTACTTGCTGCATCTATCAATAGTGTAATCTATTCAAGTGTTGTACTCATTTATGAACTACTAGTGACTGGCTATCAACTTGATCCAAGTACCATTTCAGTAATGATTTGCAAAGTTATGACATATGTGTTTCATGTTACTGCTTACATTTCACCTTACAATATAGTATTTGCTTCGATGGAACGGTATTTTTCTAGTTCAACAAGTGTTTATCTACGAAGTTTTAGCAGTATTCGTATTTCACGTTGGATAATTGGATTTATTGTTGGTTTTTTTGTACTTTTTGGTATTAATACATTTGTCCTGATTACTGCCAATCCAAATGACGGCCTTGGATGTCAAATTCCAGATGGTAAAATCTATAATCAAATATATGTAGTCACACAAGCTATGTTATATGCTATTATTGCACCATTTCTAATGGGGTTATTCGGTTATTTAACGATGCGAAATTTGAAACAAGTTCGTGTCACACCAGTCGTTGTATCAAAACATCGACGCAGTGAACGTCAACTTATTCGTATGCTTCTATTACAAGTTAGCATTTATATTGTGCTTAATTTACCAGTCGGTGTAACATATTTGTCAGCAGTACTGCCAGTTTCTTACAAAACAACGCCACTCTTTTTCTTGGTTGCCGATATTACTCAAATATTAACTTATGCTTCTAATAGTTCAAGTTTTATTATATATATGATTGGTAATCGGTGTTACAGAGAAGAACTTATGGTAATTCTACGTACACTCTTTCGTATGAAGCAACCTGTTAATAATCGTATTGGAAGTCAATCAACAACAACAAAGAGAGAGAATTTTAAAACAATTGCTATGATAGCGTCTATTCGATTGAACAATACTGTTCAACAAACATATGCACAATAAACTCTTCAATATAAAAAAAACAGCACTTTTATTATCTTATCAATTTGAAATAAAAGATTCTCTTAGGATTAGACTTCGTTAAATATAGCATAATCTACTTTAACCTTTGGTATACTCTATCAAATGAATAGTCATTGTTAGAGACTAGGCATAATTTAGAAAAATATAATTAATAGAGCATCAAAAGAATAAAAAAAATTAAAAGAGAAGGGGTAAAAATAAAGTTATGATTCCATAAGTCATTCATTCAACCATTATAATGATGATTAAAACGTACGTCAACATTTTCTAAAGCATATAATAAAGATGAAAGAAAATTTTTTTTCAACATTTTATTATTGTTCATAGTGTTAAACACGAAGTGGCATAGTTATTAATAAAATATACTCTGTTAAAGATCATGTATGACAATTTTTTTTTGACCCATATTAAAATATCCTTCTAACAAAATTTGATTCAATTTTTTTAGTAAAAAGAAAAACGAGTCTACAATACAACATATATATATGAATATTGAAAACATGAGTTAACTCAATAATAATATGTCATAGTTATTTATTAAGTTGTAATGCTTGTGGAGAAACTTTGTTTATTATGCGTTTAGTTGTCACGATTTTTTTTATTTTTATCCAAATTTCTTTTGATGATGCAAGACATACGAATGGCATTAATACTGGAATAAAATAACAAAAAAAATATACAAATACTTCAAATTCACCAGTTGAACCATACGGTACATCAAATATCAGAGTAAGATACATACTCATTAGAGGAAAATTAAATAAAAGATATAGTAGTGAACATGATAATACTTGTATAATCATTCGTCGATATTTATGCCAATGTATTTGTTGACGAAGACGTTGTTTTTGTTTGATAACACGAATAACTAATAAAATATTGAAAATTATGATCAAAATTGATGGCAATATACCGTTTACGAATGTATCAAATATATTAGGACCAAATACTCCCAAGTAACATGGACCGTAACACCAATATTGTGTGTAATCTGGTGTATTATCACAAGATACAAAGAAAACACAGACAATATAAAAAATACAAGCATATAAAATAATGCTTATTAATGGAATATAGTGAATAAAAATACGTTTTTTTCGAGTATTAAGCCATTGATGATGAAATATTATGATATGTCTCTCAATTGAAGTCCACGCCATTAACATACCCAATAGACTATAAGCAGTTGCACCTACAAACCACCAAATATAACAATTTACTACTGTTTGTGGCCAGACATAGCCAAGACGAACGTAAGTAAGATAATTAGAAATATCTGTAGCTTGTGAGAAGAGTCCAACAATAAGAATAACAATAATAACATGATTATTGAGTACTTTACGTAATGTTCGATCGAAATAAAGATTATAGAGTAAAAGAATAGAACAGAAAATAGATGGAATCTCCAAAAAAACAAGAATCCAAAAACGAACTGTTGCTGATATGGATGTTTGTAAATTTGAATCCAATGTTGTGCAATCGTCTTCAATATCATTAATAGAACTATCATTGCAAACAATATCAGCCATGAATCTCGTATGTATTAATACACGACTAAATGTCACTGTAAATTTATTGTATAAATGAAAAAACAAGAAACTATCATTAGTTATCTGTAAAAGAATAAAAACTTTTTCCTTCATTTTATTACCTAGTCATAATTTAAATAACTAAATTAGACTGCATCGTTGGAATATACAATAACATGTCGTTTATAAAAAATTTAAAAAAAGGAAAAGCTTCAAATCTATCTATATATATAATGTCCTTTGCCACTGTGTTTTTTTTTGTGCGAGATCAAAAGAGCGTCGAACATAATATAAGCTGTCGGAACCTTCTAAACGAAGAAGTGAGGCACATTAAATCTGAATCATTAGTGTGTTTAGAAGGCCATCAATATTAAACACATATATCTCATAATCTATCGAATTGAGCAAATTTTATTTCATCTTTAAATGAGAGTGACATAGAATAAGCATCACTGCTGAGTCCGAAAGTAGACGATTTATAAATCATAAATTTTTCAATCGAAAATTTAAAAGCACTATTGTCACGAATTTGTAGTAGACATTTCGACAGCTTTGAATTTCTAGACTTGTCAAATTACCAATTTCAACCCGGTTTATAAATATTTTAAACTTTTACAGTTTCTGATAAATTTAAATTTTTGTCAAAGTTATTTCGGACTCAGTAGTGATAAGTATGGAACTAATTTTATAATATTAAACATTGAGAAATGAACGATTAGTTATATAAGCTATTTATGTAATTATTAAAATACAAATTTTTATTGTAAATATGATCATAGTAAATAAAGTTATTTCAAAAAAACTAGATACTTCTAAAGATCGAATAATTAAAGCAGCATGTGCACTTTGAGTTTATTTTATTTAAATTGTCGGTTGTATAATATTATTTCGTATAAATATGTTTTTGATAGATTGACGTATTTCAGGCAATCCAGTTAGGCACATAAATGGACAAAAAAGAAAGCTTATGTATTCGAAGTAAATGAACACAGCCGATGATAATTGAAGAATAAATGCATTTGGAATGATAAGTGGAATTACAAAACCAACGATAATTGGTATCCAAACGATGATATACATAAGAGAAACGGATGCTAACTGAAGAACCATTTTACGATTGCGTTGCCAGATAGCACGTTGACCTACACGACGTTTTTGAAGAAGTACACGAATGATAAGAATTATTGTTGCAATAATACTGATAATAATCGGAGTAAATATATTACAAAACCAATCAAATAAACCAAGAGCGACCTATTAATAAAAATTAATTTTATTAGAACATTTTTCTTGAGTATAAAATATATTTAGTTTTTCTAAAAAGACTACACTGCATTTCGTTTATTATAATAAAACTGTTAAGACAATTTAAGTCAATCAGGAACAGTATCTAATTAAACTGATACATAAAATAAATCATACATACCTCATATTGGTAACATGAACCGCCGCAAGTGAATAGCGTATAATCAAAATAAGATTCACAAGGATATATGACGATTAATCCAATGTATAGCAAAGGTGGATATATAAGAAAGAACAGTATTGGTCCATAATGAAGTAAGATTAAATATTTCTTAAAAAATCCATGATAAAAGATAAGAAAGTATCGTTCAATACATCCATAAGCCATCAAAGTGAGACCACTAACACACACTGCATAATTAAATACAAGCCAGAATTTACAAAATACATCCGTTTGTATAAATACGGATCCAGTATGTAGCACAATCAGTGTTAATGGCATATCTATGACTATCTTTATAGAAATACGACAAAATTATTAAAAATAATGTAATCAATCTATCGATGACTTACTTGAATAAAATTAACAAGTAATAAGACGAAAATGACATGATTATTAAGTTTTTTACGAATTTGTGGAAATCGAGCAAAATGATAAAAGATGAGCAATGAACATATGATTGAAGGAATCATTATTGTTACAAGTATTATAAAAATGATTAAATTACTTAGTGATATATTAACTTCCATTTTTATTTTATTCTCTTGATTCAACTACTGCTTCCTACTTGTGTGTTAAATGTAGAAAAACCTTGTTTTTTATGATAAAAATGTGTCTGATTATAAGATCTGTCTTTTATGATATTAAGCTCTTGTCAGTTGTTAGAAAAACTTCTTATATTATTAATTTAACATAAAGTTCATAGAAAATTAAACCTTACAGCACCGCTGATATATATATACTTCTCTTCGGAATACTTTTAGCTAACAATTTTATCATTTATAATTAGAATATGAGTTTTTCTTTGATGTAATTGCATAGAATAATAATTATATATACATGTATATCACAATGGTTATTTAACAGACGAAAAGAATGTAAAAGCAAATAATAAGATAACTACATATTAAAACTTGATTATTTCAATAATTACAGGCAAATGAACTTGAAAATATCTATAAACACATAGAGTTTAAACATTAATCCGGAAGATCGATCGTGATATTTAAGAAATTGAAAGATAACATCATGAACAATAAAACCTGGATTTCAAGCTGATGCTTTATAATTAATTTTTAAAAACTTCTACAGAATATTAAAGCTTTTTAATTTACCTAATGTACTCTAGATACGAAGTAAAAACTATATTAATCATCTCTAATCCTCAATGCTTTTTACTAATTTCCATTTCATTATTTCCTTTGCTTAACAGTTGATTTTTATTGTTAAAGTTTACAAATTTTTAATTATGAAGAAAAAATATTCTTGCATAAAGATACTTCGAAATATTTTGATCAAATTTAACGTGTTCAAGTCTTTCGTCGTGTAATCCAAGAGAGAGTCAAATCTGATTATGAGAAGAAATCTACTTGACTAAATTTTATTTAAAAAACTTTTTAAAAGAGAAAATACTATTAACTGATTGAATATTATAGATAGAAAAATCTCTATTAAAAAGATTAAATAAATAGATTTATATTAAAACCCAAAGGGGAGTAAGCGAACTTCTGCACTTTTAAAGTACTAAAAAGTACGAAGAAGTCGGCTTGTTCCTTCTTGTTAAAATCTAATCGTTCTCTTCCTACCATCAATTTTTCAAGGGAAAAAGATATAATATCAATGCGACAAACTAAGAAAATTAAAAAAATTAAGAGAAATAATTTTTTCAAGATTTATTTTTATTAAAATATCATAATAAAAATTATGAAATACGACGGGTTGAATTATTTTTATTAATATAATTAGAATTTTGAGGATGAGTACTCTATTTTACCCACACCCTAATATTATACAAGAGAACAAAGATCTGATAGCTACAATGGAAAACAAACATCATCTATAAAAGATCAAGATGATAAACTTGAGCTATGTAACAGTGAAACACATGAATCAACAAACGATAATTCTAATCAGATAATTTTATCAAATGATACTATTGTTGTCGAGCAGTATTTAATCGAAAACCAAAATGAAGAAATTCAAATAAATAATGATGAGTTAATGACTGAAACTTTACAGTTAACTTTTGAACAGCAACATGATGATTATTTATTAGGTCTTGCTTTGCAAAACATAGGCAGTGAATAATGGGCATCATTTTAATTGTGTTGCATTTGATTAGAGACTCTTGTTTCAAACGATGAGAATCAAATGGAATAATAATAAATAAACGAAATGAATTTCTCTATCATTAACAGTAGAGTAGAATACGTTGAGGATATTTACAAACCAATGATAATCACCACTTATATATACTTTGCTTAATTTCTATGAACGCAGTGTAATAAATATTCTAAAAATATATCAAAAATTTGAGAATGTGGATACTCTGTTTCATCGGCAACCACACCCCTGCTAAGGCACTATGTATATCTCTAATCCAACTTAATAAATACAAATTAAATGAAATCAATTTTTTTTCCTATAATTTATTGCTAATAGATTGACAATCAGATATCAAAATCTAAAAAAGAAGAAGGAATTTAACCCAGAATTTAAATCTAACACATAGTCTCCTGTAAAATATTCTACTTAAGTCAATGAAATAGATACAATACAATATAATTATCACACTGAAATCATCTTTATAATAAAATCTTTTTTTTTCCAATAGTTCCAACATATAAACGATATGAAGAATATCGAAATCAGTTAGTGATATTAAACTAAAATGAAGATATATCATGTATAAACGATACAGAAGAATAAAAAGAAATATAAGTCATAGAATCACACCATACAATCGTTTTCTAAGCATCTACAGGATAGAATATTATGAAGAAGTATATATAACGTCGATGACGTAGAGGTAATCAATGGATCCATATATACAGTATGGAGTCAATATATATAGAGGCGTCTGTTTTTCTCTCGGCTACATTTCTTCTCTCTTTCTTTTATTTGTATACTATTATCGACTCGAAGCAGTCACAAGATACGAAAAAAGCACGTTTTTCTTCAAATTTATAGTCGAGAGCGTTAAATATATACATATATGATGAAAGTTATATTTTTTCTTTATTATTCTAGATTTCTACAATTCGATTAAAGATTATTTGTTTATTTGATCAATTTTCTATTTACGACTATTATCAAGATGCCACCAAAAGCTGAATTTAAACCTAAACCAAGTGCAAAATCTGAAAAAAATAAACCCAAAGGTGGTAAGGCAAAAGATGAAAAACGTGCCGCTGAAAAAGCTAAAAAAGAAGCTAAACTTGGCGGTGGTCCAATTCAATTTGGAGCTAAAAAATAAATGGTCAATATGTGAGTAGAAACTTAATCTATAAGTATGAATCAATGGGAAAATCTACCACTATAATAAATCGACCATTTTCAAACGTCGTTAAACAATAACAGGTATTTGTACTGTTAATTATCGACAAGAGTTGTAGAAAAACAATTTTCTATTATTCTTCTTAAGACATTTTTAGGAATTTCATATAGATGTCGTCAGCAGGCATGTCTTTTTCAAGTCAAATATTATATAAAAATTTATTCGATTTTGTTTTATAAACATATTTTATTTTTCTATTATAGGTAAAGTCGATTAACATGATTATGAATAACATTCGTCATATGAAAACAATCGTCGACTATGGATATTTTTTTTTGTGCTTGTAATATTAAACTAAAAATTTTTTTTCTTTTTTTCGTATTACATAATAAACAAAAAAGAGGATCGTGAAAGAAAAGAATATAGATGAATTGAATACACTTTGTGCACCTAGGAATTAGATGTTAATTGTAGAAAATCAAATGATGAATATCTACGTATTCTTATCGATTTTATTAATTGCTGCTATCGTAAATAGTGATCACTCAAGGTGAAAAAATACAAATGCTTTTCATAAGAACGATAAATCCAATTTTTACCCTTGTATATCATTTAAAATATTTTATAAGAAGATAATATCTGAAATTAATTTTTAGAATATTAAAAACTTTTAAAATCAATTGTCTTATAAAAATTCTTATTGGTAATTCTTTTTATTAGGTTTCTAAGGTTATTATAAACCAATGAAATTCTATTTTTACGAAATGATAATAAAGGTATTTATTTAAAAACACTTGAAAAGTTTTTTTTATTATCTTACTCGAATCTTTTCATTCTTTATTATTAGTAACTACAGATAATAACTATCTTTGTTGATCTAATGATACATCAAGTAATAGATGAGCTTAAATATAATAAATTATTTTACATTTTTTAACTGATATTTATATTGGACGATCATCTGAAAGAGATTGTCTGACCGCTCCATATGTCCCTCAAAACAGTCTTCCATGGAATACATCATTTGTATATTTCATAATATTCGACATGATACTCTGATTGCTTCAAGGATTACCATACACAAAATAAAGATTATATTTTAAAATATTAGTATGTGCAAACAATACTATTATGTTCTATTAAAAGAGATTAATATAAAATATAACTAAATATTTTCGAGAAAGAAGAAAAACGTGACTTTTCTTGTTATTGATTCAAATAACTTTTATTACTTTAGTTTTAATTAAAACTAATATTCATATAAAAAAAGAAAAGATAACTTTATTATAAATATTATACAGAATACTATATATATAATAAGAAAATGTCTTCATCAATTGATTATACCATTGAAATATTTCTCAATCGATATATTATGCCTACTCTATATGTAATAGGTACGATTGAAAATCTATTAAGTGCATTTGTCATTTTATGTTACATAAATTTTTATTTACTAGTAAATATTTTATACAAAGGTTTCAATATTAATCTATGTAAATTTTTATTTTATACATCTTATATTTGTACTAGACTTTTATCAACTATTCTTATATTTGCATCTATTGATCGTTTATTACTTTCATCTCAAAATATTCATACACGTTTAGCTTATGTTTCTATTAGTATAGTTCATCTGTTATATTAATGGCTTTTAAAAATGTTCATCATATACGATCATTGAATAGAAAAGATTTTCAATTACTTCGTTCTCTTTATGTTCATGGTATAATCTATATTATTTTCTCTTTAATTTCATCAATATATGGTGTTTATCTTGCATCAACTAAAGATCAAACACATTCATTATTACGATTAGCTATTGAAAATTTTGTAACTAGAGTAGCACTTACGTTTCATTATATTCCATTTTGTGCGAATTTTTTTTGTCTATATCAATATATCAAGAGCTTTTCATTAAAAAATCAAACGCTTAGTATACAAACTATATGGTAAAGATACAATAATAATACGAGACGATAGAATATACAATATAGAATTAAATATTGTCAGTACTATTAAATTACCTGCTTAATTATTAAATAAATCTTTTGTCTTTACGGTTGCTGATACAATATTTTTAGAGTGCCATTTAAGTGGTCAGTAGAATAAATGAAACGATCAGTAAATAAAATGGAACGAAAAGTAAAAAAATATAAATTTGTGCAAAGATGGTCTACTTTTCTTTTTTTTACT